CTAGGGTTCTTATTAATAAAAAAAAAACAAAAAAAAAAAAAAAAATATATATATATATATTTTTTTACTTTAAAATATAAAAATAATATAAATATAAAATAATAATAATAAAAAATATAATATATAAATAATAAAAAATTATATATAATTTGCCTCTAAATTTATTATTATTATTTTACCTCTATTTTATACCAGGAAAAAATACTCTTTGAGATTAAAAACCTTGTCTTACAGGAGTGTTCTGGCCAATATAGGTATATATTAGCCAAATATAACATGTACACATATACACAAAACCAATACAAATAAGACCAACATAGCATATGGAACATTAAAAACATTTACAATTCATTAACTCATCTTCCAATTCTCGAATAATGGATTTCAACCTCTCCTTTTTTGCTTTCTTTAAATTAGGTTTAATGCATTCAGAAAACATAATTAACATATTAACAATGTAACATCTATCTTATTTGTTATCCTGGGCATCCAACAGTGGAAATACATTAGATGGAGAGTATCATGATCAAATTGTTTCACAGAATAAAAAATATTGAGTGTTTGGGACGCTCATTTTTGCTGTCTCTCATTTAAAAAAAAAAAGACATTTGGAATGGAAGAGCCCTGCGTCAACAGGCCATCTGCTTGAGAGCGAGTCTTGGCACTCAAATACAGCAGTTTCGTCTTGGCTGAGAGAATATTCTATAGTCTGCTACATACACACAAAAGCCGAACCATTTCTCTGCTCCATGCTACGTGAAGGCACTAAAACTCTATTAAGGTCTTCAATCATTTTTCCAAGGTAATACACAATGCAGGGGCTAAATGAAAAGCATAGAAACACTCAATATTGCTTTGCATCCCCTAAGGCTAGGAAACTGATCACTTCACAGGTTCATAACACTGTCTGTACTTTCCACAGCAGTGTTATCTCACTTCCTTTCATGCTGACAGACCAGAGAGGATAAATCCAGAGATATTTACAGTAATACTTACAGTGGTGTCATGTAACAAAGTAATAATAGTATTTTTGGGAGAATCTGTACTTTACTTGAGTTTTTATATTTTTGTCAACTTCCTATTCCTTCCCTTCCTATCTCCTAATTCAAATGTATACTTTCACTCCGATGCATTTCCCCGAAGCATATTCGTTACTTACTACAAAATAAAGTTGGAAGAAAATAGAAGACTCCTAAAAAATTACGTTGCGCATGTGCACACAAGTTCTCGCACAACCACTGTTGATTTCATTTTCCACTCAAGTCAGAGCTGGGGTGTGCGATATATATCGTCTGCGCTAATATTGTAAGTGTTGTTTTAACGGTGTGCGATCGTAGTGTCATTATCGAGTATATCACAAAAACCAAACAAAAATACACCCAGAGAATGCATGCATACACTGTGTGATTTAATCTATTAAAATGCATTTAGAATGCCCATAAGATTCAAGATAAGAGGCAAAATACCTCTGTATGTCTTTTTTATTTATATAATTTAATATAGTTAATCTATATCACACTAAGAGTCACACTTTTTTTTACAGATATCAGTATGATAACAAATGTAATATTGATTTTACACAAGTTTAATAAATGCACCCTTGTCCCCTCTGAGCTGCATTAAACAGTCATAAACTGTGTAAATGAATCTAAATGCCACTTCAGATGCAGATTCCATATTTGCAAAAACAGTTTTCTGATGTTGGAATGAAAGAGTCTTCGTACCAGATGAAATGGCTCTTATGCGAACCCAAAGATACAAAATGGAAGAAAGAGTTCAAACTGAACATATATCACAAAAACATGCAGAGAGTGCACGCATATTCTGTATGATTTAGTCTTATTAAAAATGCATTTAGCGTCATCAAAATTGAAGGCATTCTGAATTGTAGGCGGTAGAAATGCCTCTGTATGTCTTTTATATTTATATAATTTAATATAGTTGCTCTATATCACACGAAGAGTGCCATTTTTCTCCAGAAATCAGCATGATAACAAATGTAATATGTAATATTTTATACAAGTTTTATAAAGTCAAGTGACTTACATTTTAAACACATTAATACCTGTTTTTGCTCAATTTTGAACGAAAATAGTTCCAAACAAAGATCACAGCACTCTTTTGCGTCTCCGAGCAACACAAATTAATCAGCTTTTTGAACGAATCGGTTGAATGAATGATTCAGTGACTCACAATCTTATGCCTCACCTGGCGGTTTTAATTTAACATTTCAACTATTTAGCAGTATAGTCAACGTTTTCTGTTTAAAACAAATAATTATTTATGCATTTGTAACTGCAGGTTAAATGCATCCATGTCCCCTCTGAGCTGCATTAAACAGTCTGTGTAAATGAATCTAAATGCCACTTCAGATGCAGATTCCATATTTGCAAAAACAGTTTTCTGATGTTGGAATGAAAGAGTCTTCGTACCAGATGAAATGGCTCTTATGCGAACCCAAAGATACAAAATGGAAGAAAGAGTTCAAACTGAACACAATCTTGCTGCTCAAAACTGTGTATAGAACAAATTTTTATATTTATTTGCCCCTTTTCTATTTTGAATTTACTTGTACTTTTACTTTCAAAACTTATGTAAGTTTTATGTTAAAAAATACTTTTCATACTTAAATACAATACATATCACATACTTTAAATCTTTTACTCAAGTAATATTCTAAACGGAGACTTTAACTTCTACCAAAGTCATTTTCTGGTAAGATAATGTAAGATTTATGTAAGATTTTTTTAATTAAAATATCCAAAAACCACTAGAACATTGTTATATATTTTGCTGACTTGTGTACTTACATTATCCCAAATGTTTCGAAGAATGTTTAAATCCAGAGAAATAAGCAATTTTAGGGCCTCGTTTCGCTTCGACGGCTTTCACCCCGCTTCATTCTACTACTTTAATAAATCATTAGCTCATCCATGAACATGATTTCTGCCCGAGTCCCGTCGGATTGCATCTGCTGTGGGGATGAAGACCACAACTCCCATGATTCCACACTCAGTCACGGCTTCATCAAACCACGCCTTTGTCTATTTGTTTATTTTGAATACGCGCCCTCCAGCGGCGAAAATGACATATTGTGCCTTTAAGTGTGGATTTCAAGTACTTTATCCACCACTGAATACTTATATAATCAAGCAGCAGTATTTGTATTAATCTATTCATTCATGTTTATTAATTAATTCAGTCCCATCAGCTACACTATTCACTTTTCTCTTATTTTAAAACATGAGGTAGAATAATATCATACTTGTGCTATCAGAGCACTTTTTGTCACATCAATGCATTAGTATAATACAGAGCTGACAAAATTAGTAGAAGAAAATGAGATTGAGCAACATTCAAACTTTTTGGCATCAAATTTGCACTATCGTTCAGCACATTGAAGAACATATGCCAACCACTAGATTCTACCAAAACCTTAAAGGGGTCCTATTATGCTTTTTCACTTTTTCAACTTTAGTTAAGTCTGTAATGTTGCTGTTTGAGCATAAAAAAGATCTGCGAAGTTACAAAGTTCAAAGTCCACTTCAAAAGGAGATATTTCATTGAACAGAAATCACTTTTCAAAAACTACAACGAACGACTCGTTTGGACTACAACGCATATTTTATGGGATTTGTGACATCACAAATATCGACGAATGGGACGAGACGTGGTTGAGCTGCAGTAGAGAAGGCAACGAGTGTTATCACTATGTCGGAGACACGCTAGCTTTCTCAAGGCAGATTCATGCCAGACTGGGGAGAGAGGTGTTGTAATAATGTAAAATATGTGAAAAAGAATGTGTTTTTCGAACAACCGTATGAGAGCCTGTTCTAGTACACCCCCAAAACAAAAATCAAGACTTTGTAAAAGAGCATAATAGGACCCCTTTAATATGTACTACCCTTCAAATGTTTGAATTAAAAGAAATTCATACTTTTATTCAGCAAGCATTCATTAAATTGATTGAAAGTGACAGTAAAGACATTTTTAATGTCACAAAAGATTTCAAATAAATGCTGCTATTTTGAAGTGCCACGGTTTCCACAAAAATATTAAACAGTAAAAACTCAATCAAATCAGTATATTAGAATGATTTCTGAAGGATCATGCGACACTGAAGACTGGAGTAATGATGCTGAAAATTCAGCTTTACCGTTACAGGAATAAATTATGCTTTAAAATATATTAAAATAGAAAACAGTTATTTTAAATAGTAATAATATTTCACATTATTACTGTCTTTATTGTATTTTTTTGTAAATAAATGTAGCCCTGGTGCGTATAAAAGACTTCTTTTAAAAACATTAAAACAATCTTACAGACCCCCAACTTTTTAACAGTATTGTATATTTAAATAAGATATTTAAATATCAAATTCATTTTTTTTTTTATCATTTGTCTTATTAAAAATAATTAAATGTTAAATATTTAAACATTTCTAATTTAAAAATGCACTGCTTTAAAATACAATAAAATACTCTAAAGCTAATTAAAGATAAAGCACTGCTAATAATATCAAATTACAAAAAAAAATAAATAAATCTTGAAACTAAACTCTTTTAATCAGCATAGTCCATTAAAAAATGTAGTTGGCTTTATATTTAAGAAAAATTGCTTTAAACAACAGAAAATAGCAATACACGTTTCATTAGCACAGTCTGTTTATTCGTGATGAAATTAGCGCCCTACATTCACACACCGGACGCTTTCTCTAATCTGCTGCCAGTTCCTGGATGTGTCACTGACCTCTCATGTCTAGACTTGAAGCTCTCTGGCTGCTGTCGAACTTCCACTTCTTGATCTTGAAGTAGGGACTCGCTCCCTCCAGGCTGGCGTGTCGGCGGAGCTTGGTGAAGAACTGCAGCATGGGGCCCGGCGGGGCCCCGCCAGAGGAGGACAGGGCCGTGGATGAGGCCGACGCACCCTCTCTACCATTACCCATGATGCCTGTGATCCTCCCGACTCCTCCTCTGACCTCCATCTGTTTGTGTTCGCAAGATTACATAAATGCAAAATAGGGCTGCACGATTAATCGAATGCTATTGTCATGTGCATTTTGTTAAAAAAGCCTTTTCATCTTCACATGCTTTCAGATGGAGCAGAATTTACTACACATAGCCGTAGTTCACTGACAAGTTAAGCAAAAAAAAATCGCAGACGATTTTATTGCGCGATTATGAAATCGAAGAAATCGTTTGCGATAATGACAGCGGTTTGCATAGCTTCTCAGTGAACTACGGCTCTGTGAAGTAAATGCTGCTCCATCTGAAAGCATGTGAAAATACCACATTTAATAACATGTTTTCTCCAAACTCACTTCATAACGTCAGTCGAGTGTTTGAAATAACATATTTCATAGTATTTAAGCAGTGATAAAGGCATTGCATTATAAATATACTTTATTTTAATGAAAATTATAATGATAAGAACTCAGATAAACCGTATATTGCCGTAGTCGTGGGTTTATTAGTCACGTTGAATCAATGAAAGCAGTTGAATCTTCTGTTTATTCAGCTGCAGCGATAGGCATTTTCTGGGTTTCTTCTGCGAGGTGTATTTGGAGTTTCAGCGTGAGAGCGCCCTCTGGTCTTTGGATGGAGATTTACTGCTGATCACAGAACCGTGCTTCACTGAAAGATACGCATGACAATCGCAGCTTCTGTCGAATCGCGATCTCGATTCCATTTCGATTTATCGTGCAGCCCTAATGCAATACACCAATGAACAATCGGATAATCCGCTGTTATGCGTGCAGCACGCGAACTTTCAATTGTCCATTCACATGGATTGTGTGTTATGATGTGTCAGTGAGTGAGTGTATCAGTGTGTGTGACTCACTAAACACGGGCTGGATGGCTCAGGACCGGCCACTGTGATGCTCTCACAGAACGTCGTGTCCACAGTGGAATTGAGAGCGTCGCCAGGAAGGGCAGAGCTGGGACTGAGACTCCGGCTGGTCAGGGCAGTCTGGGGCAGTGAACACACTGGTGGCTGTTCACGTGACACACAATGGGCGGTTATTATTTTGACAGTAACAAGAAACCTGAATAAACACAATGATGCAGTCATTCCAAACTTGTCTGGTACAGATATAAGAATGTCTGTTAAAAAATTCATAATGTGCAAGACTTCCGATTTATTAGTTGCTATAGGTAAATAACATGCAGAATAACTGTAATTAGAACAGTAATTTACAGTAACTATTTGCGCTACAAACCAGTGTGTTTACGATTACAATATTACAATATATACAGAACTGAAATCATATTATACGAAATGCCAGTTTGCAATACCAAGCAGCATAACGGAGAGTTTTTGTGCAGCTAAAAGGACTTGAAGTGAATGACACCTGAAGCCTCACACATTCAAGTTTAAAAAGGTTGCGCTCTTAAAATAAAAACACAGTGGATATAGCTATGCAAGCAGAATTTTGGACCAATGAGATTTGACTGTGGGAGGGGCTACCTTGTGGAATGACGCAATAGCAGAATGTTCGCAATAGCATATTACTATATACTCTATTTTTAACCTTTTTTTTTTTTGCTATTTGATTAGATTAGTTAATACATTTATAATCACAGTTATCAATTTATTTCTGACCAATAATTGTGAAAATAAATTAAATTTAAGAAAATGCACTACAGTTGAAAAGTTTGGAATGTACGTTTTTTATGTTTTTTTTTAAAAAGAAGTCACCAAGGAATTTATTTAATAAAAATACATTAAAAACAGTACAAATTGTGAAATATCATTACCATTTTAAATAACTCTTTTCTATTTGAATATAGTTTAAACTGTAATTTATTCCTGTGATTTGCTGCTCAAGAAACATTTCGTATTATTATCAATGTTAAAAACAGCTGTGCTGTTTAATAATTTGCGGAAACTCTGATACATAAAAAAGTCAGATGAACAGCATTTATTTTAAATATCTTTTATAACTTATAAAGGTCTTTACTGTCACTTTTGATCAGTTTATCGTGTTCTTGTTGAATAACAGTATTCATTTCTTTAAAAAAAAACTGACCCCAAATGATAGTATAAATGATGCATACTGCTTCACATACTATTTTTATAATAGTAGTCAGTATATAGTGTATATAGTGTAGCATATACTAGGTTAGTACACTATTCTGAACACAGACAATTTCTTGTCAAGGGTCACATCAATAACAAGCTGGTCAGGTTAAAAAAAGTTACAAGTTGTACCTTTCATCCTGACATGGCTAAAGTAAAGTAGGAGTAAAAGCTAACATGTTAAAATAAAAAAATTATAATATAGGTAATATAGGTATTCAAGAAAAAATGCTTTTTTAAAATAGTTTTAGATGAAGTACATCTCAAATTAAATATGTAATGCATTTAGTCCTTTAACATTTTTTGTAATTGTATTTATATATATATATATATATATATATATATATATGACTCTGTCTGTGAAATACAGGCTATATTATAACCCAGTGATACATTAAAAGTTGGATTTACAGAACATCCAACTTCACCTGCATACATGCAGTATACTTTCAGAAAGCGATAAAGCAAATCACAACTGGTTGATTGTTTATATTACAGAAAAATGAATCGCCCAGCTCTTTATATAAAGTTTTATATATGTGACCCTCTCTGTGAAATCCAGGCTAAAGTCTCAAAATCTAATTAGGAGATAACAAGCATCAAAGCTTGATTTCAACTATTAATTTCACTATGATTTCAATCTTTGACATGACCTTACTCAGTCAATATTAAAGATATCAAGGTTACATTTACACAGAAAATTTTTGTTTTTTTTTACAAAATATAAAATTTCCCTTATTTGCTGTCACTAATTTTACCCAAAATCTTGATGTTGACAAACAAGTTAATGTCCCTGTTATTCATCAACAGCTCATGCATCTGACAAGCTCAGATGTAAATGTAAAATGCACACACAAATGAGTAATGAAAGCTGCAGTCTGCTGTGGTAGTGAGCGCTGTGAATAGGAGTGGGTGGTATGAGTGAGTGGGCGGCTGACCTTCGACCTTTCTCCTGTGTTTTCTTGCTGTGATCGAAGAGCGCTGCTTCGTTGAAGGAGACCCGGCGGCCGGTGGTGCCCGTAGAAAGGAAACGCTCTGTCTCCATGTCGTGGGAGCTGGCTGCCGACAGGCAATCTGACTCATCGATGCGAATCGTAATCTCTGTGCGGGGAGAGACAGATTAGACCAGAGGACGTGTTTGTTTTTCGCATGATGCCCTCAGTTGATGTATGTGAGACTGTCACTTAGACTTGACCTTGACACTTTCCCTGAAGCTCTATGTAAATACACATGCAAATGCATTACATCATGCTGTTTAGAATGAGAATGTCCCTCCCCCAATGCCACTTGCAACCTTGCATGTTTAATTGAGTGTGTTATTTGTCATTTCCTTTTAACTAAATGTGAATTTTACTAGCAATTTCTGAGTGAAAATTGTTTCTCCAACAAATGTAGTAAATCACAGTTCGTGGCTTTGTTGTAATTGAAACCAATCGAGATGTCCTCCCAAAACATGATTTTATGGGGTCTTTAAACGTTACGCAAGTGAGAAAGTCACCAGATTTGAAAAATGTCCCAGCTGTGAATGATTGTGAAAAAAATCTCATTCACTTTCACCTGCATTGACATCTAAATAAATGCCGTATGATAGGCACAACAACAACACCGGCTTTATTACGACAATATACAGTTTCATTCGCCATAAGGCACTGTAAGTAATGAGAAACTGAAAATGAGTTTCCAGTCCTCTAACCACAGTGAACGGTGGCACACTGCGAGTGTGTGTGTGTTTTAGTGGGTGTTGGCTGGAGAGCACTCTCTCCCACACCAGGAGTGATTTATCGCGGCTGATGGCTGCTATGAGATCTCATTATACTCGTCATTTGTGTGAGCCTGGAGAGCAGGCAGACTCTACACCTCTCAGCAGCCACTGAGAAATACAGCCAGGCTGTGAGGAATGTGCACAGAAAACATTTTCAGTGCTGAGCGTCCTTGGCTTCACTAGAGGAACAGTTTATTCCAGTTGAATCTCTGCATTACGGTTCTATTTGATGCAGAATTTAGTGTCAAATGCAATCATACGCATCATCTGTCAACATGCAAACCAACATGCAAACATCGTGCTGTAAGTGACAATCATAATGTATATTCTCAATATTCACAGAACGCATTTTATTGGCGCTATTTGTTTAATTGTACATTTGTGTTTTTCATGAAAGGTTTCAAGCTGAAAGCTCTTCTAAATGTAAAAGCATGTCTTGTGTGAAAGCATTCTAACCTTAACCTCATGCAGTCTTATCATTTGGTGCGACCATCTGTCAGGCAATGCAACCAATTATGGAAATAAAAATAGAAATCCAAAATTGCATTATTAATATCAATCACTAATACAATACGCTAACATGGATCTTTTTTTATATTTTACAAACATAAAATCATAATAAAAAAGAAATAAAAATAATCCTGTAAAAAAATTTTTTTTTATAAATGGACTCTATAACTAACATTTTAACTATGAAAATTAAAAGTATTAAATTAAATATGAAATATTAAATGAAAAACTTAAAAGATATTAGAAATGTTGCCTTGGCAACTAAATATACAGTGCAAACTGCAATTATTTTCAGTAAATGAAACTGAAACTGAATTAAAATACAAGAAAATATCAATATTAGATGAAAAACTTAAACATGAAAAACTTTTTAAAAAGTATATATGTTGCTTTGGCGTACTAAAATTTAAACTTTAAATTACTAATCTAACTTAAGCTAAAATTTAAATGAAAAATTAAGAAATAAATATATAAACCTAATTAAAAATATTAATAAATGTTGTTTATTATAATAAATATAAATATCTTATAATAGCTAATAATAAAATAACTGACTATTACTACTACTAACTTAAAATATTATATGAAGGTAATATATTATTTAAATATATAATTTGATCGCACCACATGACATTTTTAGGGACAAAGAACAAAGTGGGAAATGCTATGTTGAAATACTCTTAAAAAAATCCCTAAAATAAACTAAAAAAAAAAAAAATCTGATTGGTTGACAGAAATATTCATCCAGAACCAAGTATGTTCAGGGGCCTGTGAATGTATAAGTTGCGAGGGGTAGTTCTTACCATGCATGCCGTCTGTCCCCTTCACAACAGCGGCGACAGACAATCAGAAGGACAGAGAGCAGGACCAGCGTCCCCCCGACAAAGATGGACAAGAGGACCAGCAGGAGGACATAGCCATTCTGTGTCCCTGATGACAGCGGGACGTCCTAGGTAACACCAGTGAAAGAAACAAACCAGTCACGATTGAAATTCCTTCTCCGAGTAAAACCGCATGACTTCAATTTTCACATTATATAGGTTTCTCCAATTCTATTGTCCAACTTAGACATAAACCACAGACATTTTCTGCATAAAAGCCCTTTGTTCAAGAGTGGTCCTTCTGGTAATATTACATAAGGCCCAGTTTCTGGAGAGAAGGACCTTCAGGTGTGGGGGCTTTTGTGTCTGAGTTGAGATGTTAAGTACAGTGTTCACCACGCCAAAGACAAGTTTAGAAAGATCTAGAGGCGGAGACCTTAAGAGACAAGAATGGAAGAGACAGAAGGTTCCTTCCTCAAAGACATCAAAGCACAAAGCCATACAACACCTCTCGCCCTGCCACCTGCTTAAATGTCATCTTCGTTCATGTCCCCGAAGAGATGTTCAATGGTAAGAATGCTAAATAAGAGCATAAGAACAAGGCCTGAATGAGCCTTTGAAACATCTTACAATTACTCTTACATTATACAGTGTTTCAATTGGCGGAGCAGAACATCCTAATTACCAGCCATTGTTCAGGTGAAGATCTGGATAGAGTTTATTCAGATCAGGTTTATTACTTTGTTAATGAAAGAGTTTGGAAGACTGATTTCTCTTCATTAAACTATAAATGGCAGAAAGCTATTTATCACTGAGTCCGCCATTATCCTAGCTTGGCAAGAGCGAAGGATGTTCTCAGTGGAGAAACTGGGAACTGTTTCATGGACAGTAGCATCATCGTGGCGGTCTCAAGAATAGTCTGGCTAACTTGTTTTCAGAAGGGACAGCAAAATGGACAAAACGATGTTTCACACTTTTAAAAGTTTACGTTCTGAACTTTTTATTCCGTAGTTCTTCAGAAAACCATTGCAGTTCTGATGCTTTAAGGATCCCAGAATTTATATACTGATAATGCAACATCAATAGTTTTTTTATTTCCGCCCAAAAAAACATTGAAACTCCATACAAATCCAACAAAATGCTTTCTAAAAATGTGTAATATCTAAATTACCTGCTTTTATTCAAGTCAGAAAACATTCAAAATGACTGAACCAACAAGGCTACATTGGGATACCCCCCCAAAAAAATGTATTCAAAATAAACATGAAACAGCAGTCAAGGGTTCATTTTATGGTCAATCAGGCAGAAATGTTTTGAAGCAAAATAAAATACATCCATCAAAAAAGTACTCCACCACACATGTGTACGACAGTAAGCGGAAGCTAGAGATTACTAACAACCACTTGTATTGTTCTCTTATTATTTTCATCAACAGTATGGTTTAGTAATTAAAATCATTTAATTATTGTCCGTGCAGAGGCTATTCCGTTTTATTGATCTATGGCGCATTCATTTTGATTCTTTACACGTGTAATGATGTCCAGTGACTTGTTTGCATTATTTATGCATTATTTTATTTATTTGTAAGACTTTTTTATGACTAAATTTGGTAATGGGAGAGTAAAAATATTTTTAAAACGTACACCGTTCAAACTAGGCTGCTTATGTTGAAGTGTTTGGGATGTGGCTTTTAATGATGAGACCTTTTTTGTAATCAGGCTCTCAAAAAGTATATAACAATTTGGATATAGATTTATCGGCCAACATATCGGTTATCGGCTTTCAAAAATAAAGAATAATCGGTTATCGGTATCGGCCAAAATTTTCATATCGGTGCATCCCTAGTTTATAAAGTATTTAATATGGATACTTTTCTTACACAAATCCATCAATTCACTTCAGATGGCCTTTATTCACCCCCTGGAGCCATGTAAAGCACATTTTTATGATGGATGGATGCACTTTTTTGGGCTTCAAAATCTCAATTCACTGCCATTATAAAACTTGGAAGAGCCAGGACATTTTTAATATAACTCTGATTGTATTAGTCTGAAAGAAGAAAGTCATGCACACCTAGGATGGCTTGAGGGTGAGTAACCAATGTGATCATTTTAATCTCCCCTAAAGAGACAGTTCACCCAAAAATTACAATTCTGTCAAATTATGCACTTAATTCCAGTGAGAAAAAAAATCGGTTTTGACCTAAAATTTTGACTTTTAACCAAAAATTATCCTAGAGTAGTATGTCAAATTTGTTTGGCTAAAATATCGAGAGGTTATTTTCGGTTCAGGGTTTCGGCTAAATTACACTAAATTCTAAATTTACACTCTAAAAAATGCTGGGTTAAATACAACCCAGTGCTGGGTAAAATAGGGACAAACCCAGCAATTGGGTTGTTTTGACCCAGCGGTTGGGTTAAATGTTTAACCCAACCTTCGGGGTAGTAACCCATCCGCTGGGTCAAAACAACACAATTGCTGGGTTTGTCCCTATTTTATCCAGCACTGGGTTGTATTTAACCCAGCATTTTTTAGAGTGTAAATTTAATATTTAGTTTCTGTAAAACATATTTGGTGTATCATTAATTCTGTCATCATTTACTTACCCTCTGTTGTTCCAAAAGCTGTATGACTTTCTTAAGTTTTCAAAAACAATTTTGTCAGCTGATTCAATGAAAAGGTCTGGCTCAAAGGAATGATTCATGCACTCTAAAAAATGCTGGGTTAAATACAACCCAATTGCTGGGTTTGTCCCTACTTTACCCAGCACTGGGTTGTATTTAACCCAGCATTTTTTAGAGTGTGTACAGATCCGCCATCACTACTTCTTTCTGTTCCTCAAACAAAGCTACAATATGAGTTCAGAAGACTCAAAATATAGAGCATGAGTCATGTTGATCACGTTTATGATAATTCTATGGTAATAATTAATCTTTTTTGAAGATTGAAAGGTTAATTCTAAATTCATTGTAATGGCATGGAAAAGAGCAGCTAGGACGTTCTTCAAAATTTCTCCTTTTTTGAAGTCAGTCAGTCAGACAGGTTTAGAACAACATGAAGGTGAGTAAATAAATAATAAACTTTTAGGTAAACTATATATTTATGAAGTCCAGAATCCCTGAGGATCCTGGAATTAGTCACTATTCCTGAATAAACGTCTCTATTTTAACCTAATGATGCTGCTTATGCCGGTAATTGAAGTTCCTGACAGTAACTCTGGGTTGTGATGCTCTATCACATCGTCTGACTGCGTGATGGATTCGGTCTGACTCAAAGTTCTCTCGCAAGGGCTAATTTGCTTAGATCCTGCGGTGGATCCAATTACGAGGGACGCAGAACAGGATATTTTCAATTTGCATGACTGGAAATAGCGCTGCAAAGAGAGGGAATGGGCGTAATGAAAGTAACCAGCACAGGAAGGAGAAGCACAAGTACTTACGGTGGGGTAAGTTGTGTTCTGGTTTGTCCATATGGCAGACTCATTGCTCATGGTCCAAGCCAAAGAGAGTGTCCCCCCTGAGGAAGACATTACAGGAAGTCAGGCAGCTGCTTTGAAGCCAGTTATGGCACTAAAGAAGGATTTGAATTCTCCTTCACAAGGAAAATAAAACAAATGCATCCCTGGACTGACAGCTTCCTTAAATACTCAGCTTTTAAGCAAAAATATAGTTCCCAATCTCCTTCTAAATATATTTGAATGCAACTCTTGTACATACAAACACATGCTTACATAATTCTGTGACAAAATGTCACCCTTTCTCCCCAAAAATCCCTTTTCATTTCCTCTTTTATCCAGTGGCTGAGGCCCAGCAGCATATGCTCCCCTTAATACCATCAACACCACAGCTTTCTGCATAAACCGCAAAAAAACCCTCTCTTTGACTCCTGCACTCACCTCCCAAGCAGTCCTCGTTTCTTTAATGCTGCGATGCTGCCTTTTCTCCCATTATCTGAAGGCAGCGTGTGTTTGTGTGCAAGAGATGCAGAGATAGCAGCGTGTTTGAAGGCTCGGACTGCAAAGCTTTCCGCTCCTGCTGCATACTCATCCTGCTTCTGCCCACCTACCTGTTTTCATAGCTTCTCTCTCTCTTTCTCCATCTCAGGGTCTTTAACATTCCTGAGATCATTTAAGCAGTTTTTTTGTGTTTGTGTTTCGAATGTATGATGCTGTTGTAGTGTTCACAGAGATGCCTAATGTACTGCATTATTAGGTATAGTTATTAAAACAAATCAACAGAGACCCGTTTGAACCGTTCCGGACTGTTCTTTCAGATTTAATGGCATTGCCAGATTTCCCTTTTTAATTACTTTGTCACTGTCAATTCACTTGTGATTTATTTCGTTTTTCACCAATTCTCTTTGTTATTAAATATTTTTGCTTGATGATACACTGCGAAAAAAAGTCAAAACGTGCAAAATGCACATTAAAGACAACCTTTGTTGGTGTAGCCGAAGTAGTTAAGTTGATTCGGTTATATTTTGACTTAAAACTAGTTAGTTTGTGTTCTCATTTTAGGTTACCGGAAGAAATATATTTGACAGTCCCTAACAATCCACTAACTATCATGAACGTTATGCAACATATGCTCTTGGCAGACTCTGCGGAGGTGTAGTACATTCAAAAATCTCTCTATAAGCATTTCTTATATATTCTTTATAGAACCTTTAATCAATTATTTACATTTTAACATTAATTCCTGAAACTAACTATAGTATCTTCATGTTTAATTAATTACATGTTTGTTTAATCACTAGTAAGTAATACAATACCAACAACTATCTTTTTTTTTTTCAGAATCACTACTGATTATCCAACAAATTGAATTTTATTTCAGTTGAAATTTTTTTATTATTTTGTTCAAATATATAATTCATTCAGACGAGTACTCAAAGTTGTACTCAAATTGTTGCTGGTATTTATTCAATTTTTTACTAATATTCATTAGGGACCAGTATTTATTTTAGTTACTTGTAACTACTGGGATTCTTAGTTAACTAAAACTAAAACCATACAAAGAAAAAAAGGAAAAAAAAATTTTGTCTCTTGAAACAAAATACATCCTAACTGAACTAAAATAAATGATAGAATAATCCTTAAATGTAATCAAATTTAATTGCAGCTAGTTGCCAAGGCTACATTTTTCATTTGCATGTAGTTTAAGCTATTGTACTAAAATGACAAAAAATAAATAAATAAATAAAAATTATCAAAAAATTACAAAAACACAATGACTTTAACTCAAATCAAAATGAAAGCAGATAATATAAATATAAAAACAACTAATTCAAAATATTATTAAAAACTATAATTGTATCTCAGTGATAACATAACACTGTAACTGTTTTAAAAGTTAGTTCTTCAGTTTTCCTACAAATTGAGCAGATATTAGTATCTTTTAGACACTAGTGCTATTTTTTAATTATTGTTATCAGTTAACATTTTTTAATCGTCCTGCTAGGCTAATATTTAAAGTATAACTACAAAAGTAGCTATTCTGCATGGTCATTTAATATGGCATAAAAAAATCTGCTGTAACTAGATTAAAAAATATATTTCTTGTAACAATCGTGATAAATAATAGTCTCATAAATTCTAAAGCTGGAGTACTAGATATTGAGATAAGCATTAGGATTAAATGAATAGTTACTAATGATTGATTAGTCAGTATTGGACCACTCACTAGTATTTTAAAAAGCATTAGTAATATAAAAATAGATACTAGTTATTCTTCATGAGTAAATTTAAATAACAGCGACGTGAGCATCAACAGACAGGCAGTGCAACCCCATATTTAAATCTCATTCCCAATCGTTAATGCTATATCTGATCGATAACCATGTCTGTTTTCCGCATTTTAGACTCCCATCATTTCCGAGAATAAAGCACGATGTCACTGAAGACACGGAAACAAAAGCAGCGTGAATGAATGACAAGCCGACAAAACTCACCTAACTATAATTCACGTGATCCATGAGACAAAACGCTCGCAAACGATTCTCCGATCTTCTCTGGGATTCGGGCTTTTAAATCTGTTTGTATGAATGAAGTGCCCCGTTAAACACACCCACTCTCCCGGCGCCCAGTGAGGAGAAATCACAAGTGTCTGTCTGTCAAGCGCTCGTCCTGTCCTCATGTTATGGAAATGAGGTGATCCCCCATTTGGGTCCCCAGGAACAGGGGGTCCTCAGGAACGGGCATCCCCAGGCGGTCCGGGCTCACTGCAGTTTTGGTTAACGAATATATCGTGCTGAATAAACGAGCGCAAAAACACTGAGGTGGGCCATTATTCAGTGCTCACTATGAGCTTGAACAAATATGAGTCAATTCAATTCGTGCTATGAATGTTAAATTGGTATTTACTGAGCGCCCCCTCCTGGTCGTACGCCCTTATAGTCATTTTTCAGTGAATACACTTAAAAATAAAAGTGCTTTAAAAGGTTCTTCACAGCAATGCCATAGAAGAACCATTTTTGGTTCCACAAAGAACCATTCAGTCAAAGGTTCTTTAAAGAACCATCTCTTTCTTACCTTTTTTATAATCTGAAGAACCTTCTTTCGCCACGAAGAACCTTTTGTGAAACAGCAAGGTTCCTCAGATGTTAAAGGTTCTTTATGGAACCATTTAGACAAAAAGGTTCTTCTATGGCATCGTGAAGCACCTTTATTTTTAAGAGTGTACGTTCAGTGAATATTTCTATCATCAAGTTTATTTTTGAAACAGCCTACAATAAAAAACGACATGAATGTGAATATTATTGACAAGGACCAAGTAAACAGCCTGGTTCACTCCACACAAGGACATTTTGTGACAACGTGCCCCAATGGCCTTTAAAAGCAATTTAATGGCTTAAGAGCCAGTTGGAAATCATGAAACATACATGCATATAACAGGAATTTTGACAATTATCTTGTTTTTTCCTCGCTTTCCTTACACATCTTCTCTTATTTGGTCGTATACACTATTCTAAGTGCGCTATTATAAGTGCACTCATGTTTTTGAAAAACTTTGTTGTGGTGGAAATGACGTCACTAACTGAGAATTGTTGTGTGAGAAGTTGATAGATGTTAACTCCACATGTGATGTCTTATTGGAAGAATGTGGTTGATTATATTGATTGGGAAAAAGTATGGACTCTGTCTTTGAAGTACATAATAACTAACAAGGTTAGAGAAATCTCATTCAAATTGTTACACAGATTTTACCCAGCTAAAGTGTTTTTGAAAAGGTTTAAATCCGACCTAGATACAAGCTGTTCTTTTTGTGGTGACCCTAATGAAACTGATATGCATATCTTTTGGGATTGTCCTCACACACAGCTATTTTGGTTTGAATTTTCTAATGTTCTCAATCGCAGTGTACTCCAGGGTTTCTCTCTGCTTTTTAAGGATGTACTGTTTGGCTTCTTTAACATACAAAAAGATAAAATGAATGAATATTTTATTATTAACCTATTATTACTTCTTGCAAAATGTCATATTCACCGCAGTAAATTCACTAATCAAAATCCGTTATATATTGTTTATAAAAATGTAATCTTCCAAGAATCTCAAGGCTTTTAAAACGGTTAATTTATTTCATCTTTTTCATTTATTTTGTTAAATCTTTCGTTTTGCATTATTTATTTATTGTTACATACATCTATAAATGGTGCTTTGCGTGTAATGTTGATATTCTCTGTATTTTTATATTTGGTACCTTGGCATTAATAAAAAAAAAAAAAGTTGATAGACGTTGCATAAACGCACATGAGGAAGACTTGTTATAAATGTGATTTGTCTTTTAGATTTTGGTCTGATGTTAGTGCCTTTTTATTTGTTCAAAGAAATGTTAATTGCATGCTCTCTTTAAAAGATGTTTTACACTAATTCACACAAAAGCAGAATGGTTATGTCGTTAACTTTGACATTTTGCAAGATAAATAGGCTATTACATTCATAAACACAAATTTGCCAAATGCATACCAAAATGTAATAAATTTTTTTATTGGAATCGGAATCTTTGATAGAGTCTAATTCAAATTAATAACAAAAAGAATGACATGCTGTTAGATTTCATGGAGGAATTTGTTTCTTGTATAGTTCCCCCACTGTAGATAATTGGAACTATTGTTTAGTAGTTTATATGTATGTTTTTATTATTATTATTATCATTAGGGTATTATTATTATTACTTTATTTTATTTATTTAACTTATTTATTTTATCTCTACTCTTAAATGCTGTCTTACAGATTAAGATGGTTCTTCTTTCTTGTGTATGTGGACTTAATTGTTAAAATGTATTGTAATGCAAAAACATTTCTTCAATAAAAAGGTTGATAGACATCAATATATTCTCAGGTGTTTTATTCAGTTATTTCCTCTGATTATTAATTATTAATGTTTCTGTTTATTTATTGAATTCATTTAGTAAATTATAGTTATAGTTATCATTTTATTTTATGTAATATTAATTGATGTATTTATTGCTCTTCTGTTAATGCTCTTTAATGTTCTCCTAAAGATAGATTTGTTCAGTATCATTTTTGTTTCTTGAATTAAAACAACAACAACAACACATCATTCGTAAAACAAATCTATATAAAAATGGCACGACAAATGTTGAAAAAATATATATATTTATGTGAATTAATTACACCCTCCGCATTAAGGAAAATAACTACATGTCCCATCAGCCCCACAGTCCTCGCAAGGCCTGACGGGAAAGGTCGCCCGTGCCCTTGTCCTATCAGCCGCGCACTGTCTGTCTGTCAGGGTGGACTGGGAAGCCGAGGCTCTGCGTTACTGTGCTGTAAAGGTCGGGTCGCTACTACGTGGTAAAAATGATGGCAGCGAGGTTTCTCCTTCGTCGCGCGGTGCCCGCGTTGAGACACGCGCGCTGTTATGCCGACGCGCCCGCCGCTCAGATGTCCTTCACTTTCGCGTCGCCGACGCAGGTACCGACGCTCCGGGCTCAGGCCTCGTTATTCTAGTTGCAGTTTAATTCGTTTGTACTCGTGCATACTGCGCGTGCTACTTTCATGGCTAAGCTCGTCAATATATCAAGATATTGTGGTGTAACGTTAGATGAATAATTTTGCATCTGAAGCGAATGCATTTAATGTAACATTGTAAAATGTTGACACCATAAAAATAAATACGATTTAGTTTTTTTGTTTTGTAAAACATGGACCAAAGTTTGAATGACTTCAGCAGACTGTTAGCATTGCTTCCGATCACCTTGACTTGTGTTTTTAAATTTTTTTACACATTGATCTGACATGTTTTCACACTCATGCAAAACCTGCAAATATTTAAGGGTATTTAAAAATTATTATTGTTATTTATATAGTTAATTAGCGACAGAAAACCTTTTTATATTTTTTTATTTAATATAATTATTTAATATAATTTTTATTATTTAATATTATTATTATTTAATTTTTTTCAGGAGCATTTTTATTTTATTTTTTTTAATAAAAAAAAAAAGCATGTGTTGTGTGATTAGTACGAAACAACTACAATACAATTTGTCAGAATGATGGGTACTTAATAGAATTTAATAAAATAGAAACAGTTGTAAATTACATTTATAAAAAATACAAATGATTTGACAATCTTGGTAAATCAGATCAATATCAAATGTCAGAGTAATAAATGTATGTAAATGCACAAATATCATTAAAAAAAACAATCAGACAGAACGTAAGGAATACAGAACTAATCTGACAGCTGTACTTTGTTAGTATGTTTTAGCATTAAACCCATCCACAGGATATAAAATATCTAATGTTAGAATCACCATATTGCATTTTTGGTGCCCCCACATTTCAAATTTCTGGAGCTTTTTTGTCTTGCATTTTTCTCTAAGCATTGGTAAATTTCAAAATATTATTAATATGAATTTTTTGGTTTTCTACTTGTTGTGAATGCAATCTTAAAATATTTAAAAAATGATTTTTAACATCCTTATTTAGTATCACAACTGATCACTCTCCCGTGATTGCTGTCGTTATTCAGATGGTGTTGGAACCCTTTGTTTAGCAGAACTTTTTTTTAAAGAAATGTTCCCAATTGATCAGTCGCTTTGTATTTAATAATTGTAATTTCAATTGTTTCATCATTTTTTCTAAGTGCACTGTCACTGTAGTAAGTCTCCCTAGAGTGACCTGAGGTTAAATGTCTTGTTCAACAAGGGCACAGCGGTCATAGTTAATGCATTGAGCTTCGTTGTCCCTTTGGGCAGTTCAATCTTTTAATAGTTTGGTTGCCAGCTTTCATATTTAACATCAAACTGTGTTCATCTGGTGCAGTGAAGCTTATGTCTTTTGCAGGTGTTCTTCAAGGAAGCCAGTGTAAAACAGATTGATGTCCCAACACTGACAGGTGCTTTTGGTATCCTACCAGCCCACGTCCCCACACTGCAGGTGCTCCGGCCCGGCGTAGTCACCGTCTTCAATGACGATGGTTCCTCTACTAAGTATTTTGGTGAGTTCTCTAGTGCTGTTATACCAACCATTATAATGCTCAATAATGGGCACCCACTTCTTTTGGCCTTGGTTCCATTCATTTTCCCTATAGGGATTTCAGAAAATTCCAAACCAACAAGATCTGAGATGAACTGCAGTATTTGATTTGAAGCGAAAAGAACCTACTTGCCATGAAAATAGCCAAGGAAGCTGGTATGACATTAAAACACCAAAAAAAAAACAGACTTTCCATGAGGATAATTTCAGCATTATGGGTCGTGTAGGATTATTCTTCCTTCAGGATTATGCATAGTGTAGTTATCCATTAAGCAAATTTATGGTGCTTGTTAATTTAGTGAAACATTTAAGTGAAAAATAGTTTTCACTAGTCTTTATCATTTTTAACCGTAGAGCAAAGGGTAGATATTTCATGTAGATTTTTTCTTTCTGTACATCTTTCTGTAATTGATGTTCATGCATTTGGCTGACGCTTTTATCCAAAGCGACTTACATTGCATTTGATTAGTTCATGCATTCCCTGGTAATTTGACCCATGCCTTTGGTGTTGCTAGTGCCATGCTTAAATTTTTTTTTTTATTATTAACCGTTTAAATGTTTATTAACTTATTTATTTTTTAAATGATTTGACCCCCTTCTGAAACTCTGACATGGAATCAAACAACCAAATTAATCAAATAATTAGTTTAAAATGAGCTAAAAAGTATATATTTAAAGTAGGGTTGTGACGGTGAGGAAATTTTCCCACCGGTTAATCGACGTGTGACAATACCGGTATCACCGTGGGGGCGGGGCGTTCCCTCTTTTCCTCGCTTTTAAATAGCTTGTAAAAGCGGTGTGCCCATTTTACTTTCACTTTAAAATAAAAGCAATTCGGAGTAAAGCAATTGTTCGTTTTTAGTTCGTTTGAATTTTCCCTCTTTTCCTCGCTTTTTTTTGGACAGCCCTAGTGAGTACACCCTTATTCTTCCGCATCCCGCACACACAAGTCTCTACCGGCTCGCACCCGCACTCGCCCATCAAGTAATGTCCCGCACCGCAATCTGTTGCGTTGGGTCCCGCGATCGTGCAGGTCTCTACTCGGAAGGTGCCTGTTATATTGTTATGATCGAGGCTCTGGACTCAAGTAAAGCAATTGTTCGTTTGAATTTTCCCTCTTTTCCTCGCTTTTTTTTGGACAGCCCTAGTGAGTACACCCTTATTCTTCCGCATCCCGCACACACAAGTCTCTACCGGCTCGCACCCGCACTCGCCCATCAAGTAATGTCCCGCACCGCAATATGTTGCGTTGGGTCCCGCGATCGTGCAGGTCTCTACTCGGAAGGTGCCTGTTATATTGTTATGATCGAAGCTCTGGACTCTGAGCATAACTTGTTTTTCTATAACAAACTATAAAATATTTTCTATAAAAACGTTAATGCCCTGGCAGTGGCAGATAGCTTTGGTTTTATATTTAATTTGATTACATTAATGTTATAAGGTAAGATTTACAATAAATATTTTAACTGCTACTATGTAAAAGGAATACTGCTGTAAAAAAAGCACCTTATTTGTTTAAAGTGTTTGCAAGCCAAATGTTATTGCACTTTTGTTCATATAGCAGTACTTTTAAATGAAAAAAGTGCACAATACACTACTTTTGAATTCATTATTGAACGTTGTGTATAACAATATGATTAATCGTTGCCCAGCACTAATTGAAAGTAATTTTAGCTTTGGTAATTTTTAGAATTTTTTACTTCCTGAACAATAATTTGACCCTTATTTAATTTAAATCCAGACTGACAAAATAGATGATGGATGTGACTATGACTTGTGGATATTTTAGTCCTCATTAGCACACTTAAAGGGAGTGATTCAGATTTGTAACATGATTTTCTTTGGTGAAATAAGTAGATTTAAATGTGATCCACCGTAAAGACACATGACACTTTTAACTGACATACTGATTCCTTTTAGACATTAATTTGCTTTTAGAAATTCATCCAGAAGAGGTCAGGATTGTCCCACAAGTGAGAGCCTCTTCAAGCATCAACGAACAATACAACGTGACCTGTGAGCTCTCATCGGTGCTTGAGATTAAACGTGGTTTGTGTTTTGCAGTGAGCAGCGGATCAGTCACCGTCAATGCCGACTCTTCAGTGCAACTGCTGGCAGAGGAGGCCGTTCCTCTGGACAGCCTGGACCTCACAGTGAGTCCCTGCTATGCTGTTATCTCAACGCAAAGAATAATTAGAAAACTCATTCAAGTATGGCTTCATTGTCCACTTTTCACAATCCAATCCATTCCTCATGGGTTTTTTTTAGTTCACTCACATTATGCGAAATGTGTCACATTATGCAAGAAAAATGGGTTACGAGTACAATTTCAAGAATTAAAGGGGCAGGTGTTTTGGGTTTTTACAATTTTTGAAAACAAAGACTGCTGAGGTTATAAAAGAGGACTGTTTAATGAAGCTGAATCTGTATAGTCGTACTGTATTTGAAAATTCAAACAACCGTTTCAGAAACGCCCTATTATCTGTTTATTGAAGTCTATAGACACCCTTTTATAGGATTATCATTTAAATCTAGCTTTTGGAACTTTTTCAAACCACCCTTTGATTGTATTCATGCTGTTTATCCTCCACACAACATCAATACATAGAAATACAACGGTCTTTATTTTCTGTTAGTCACCGCTTTCTCAGAACGAGTCGAGCGTTCGGAATGGCACAGCGAAAATGAGCCCATTCCAAAAGGGATGTTCTCAGACTTGCCCTTTTTCCGACACCGAATATAGAGCACTTTCAGGTTCATTCCACATAAATAGGCCGCTTTTTTTATTCTTCCTAGAGATAGCTGTGCTCGGGGGCCTTGCTGTTTAATAAGGAAGGAAAGGTCAGTCACTGTTGAAGTGGTGCAGATGTGTCAAATCCCCACTGAGAGACCTTTAACTCCTAGCAATGTTTGGCCTTTACACTGTGTAATCGCCACTGTGACAAATGTCCTTCACAGGAAAGAGGCCACGTTTATTTGCTCACACTGTTGAGAAAACGGCCATGCTAGTCTAGAATGTGGCTTAAGCAGCAGTAGCATTGATTTTTAAGGCAAAGATGAGTTTTCTCACTTATAAGGTGCTTCAAGATATTGAAGTTCTCGGTTCTGTATGACACTTGTTCCAATTGATGGCACCTTTTATAATGTCAGCTGTTATAGATTGAATCGTCGCCCAATACATCAGTTTCAAGATTACAGTGAATGTGAACCAAATGTCAGGAGTGCCATGTCTTTTGTACAGATGGCAAAAGCAAACCTCGAGAAGGCCCAGTCGGAACTGGTGGGCGTTTCAGGTGAAGCAGCCCGGGCGGAGGTTCTGATCAGCATGGAGGCAAGCGAGGCAATTGTCAAAGCATTGGAGTAAATGATTTGTGTTGGTATGTACACATGCAGGACTACACTCATTAAATACAGTATAATGAATGTTGCATATGAATGTACTTATGTCAAATTTCTCATTTTGTTTCCCCGTAGGATATTCTGTCAGTGTCAAAAAGTCTCCGGCTTTGTCTGTTCCCCACCCCAGTGACGTCAGAAACCGCAAGACTTAGCTGCTTGCTTTGTACAGTGGATAAAATTAACAATAAATTAATTTGAAAAAACATACTGTCACTTTAATGTTGTTTGAGTTTCACAAAATTAATTTAAGCTGTATTTGCTGTGATATAAATTTGTTTGAGGATGAATACAGTACTGTTCATGACAGAAAGGGGACAGTATGGTACTGTTTAAACCTAAATGATCTCCAAGTTTTACGCCAGAGAAACTGAAGCGAATCAATTAATATTCATTGTTCAATCAATGTCACTATTTTTGAACAAAATATACTATTTTTACCCATTAATTTTTCTGTGCATCTTTAATTCTTGGAACCATTATACTAATTGTCATCCTACTCAAGCTGCCTTCATATTCATTTTCTAGTTCCCTAAAAACTTATAATTGGCTAAAGGCACTCACAAGCCAGCTACAGAGTTAGAAATACAGCTAGTCTATGCTGCCAGAAGAAACATCCAACAGACAGTGAACATTGTGGTGTAAAAGTCTAGAATTTGCTTAAGTACAGAGTGATTTTACATGGCAGCTCCAGAGCTATAAGCATGTGCCGACTGGAGTTTTACGAGATTAAACCACATGCGTCTTTATGAACGTCTATCGTGGCAACATGCTGCAGCTTGCTCTAGTAGCACATGTACAATTCAGTTGTGTCTAAAATGTTCCTTGCACTGCATAACTTGCATGTTTACTGTATATTTGTGATGAAATCATTTTAAATAGTTGACCAAATTGCATGAAAAACCATTGGCAACAATGAATACGTATGTTGACAAAAGGAGAATTTTTACTTTTTCACGTTCTGGTGGTGTCAAAAATCAGTGTTGCAAAGATTTTAAGATTGCTTTGGTTCGTTAAGGAACCACAAGGTTCTATTTATGTCACACAATGTTTCCCTTGTTTTCATATTTTGTTCCTTCATCTCAAGTGTGAGTATAACCTCTATTCTTAAACTTCCTCTACAGGATAAACGTAATTACCATTCTACAGTCTTGAGAAAGGACAGTTTTATGTCAGAAGTCCAGCCCTAGCAAAACTCTTCATAATAACTTTATAAACCTCTGTATGCAGATATGAAACTTTAGGAACAAGATGTCCCATCTTAGAGCACCAAATGGTTTTGAAGAAACATCCCAGATTGGTACAAAATGATCTAGAAATGTCCACTGTTATAATACTATTTTAATTTATTATAATAATCATGAACACTGGTTTGTAAAGCAAATAGTTCTACTGTTTACTGCACTTTTGTTATTCTGCTTATTTACCTATTCCCATAGTACCTATAACAGTTTAGGTGTGTTTAATTAAGGGTCTAGCTAAACCAGGGCTGTCCAACTCTGCTCCCAGAGGTCAAACTTCTTGCAGAATTAAGCTTCAACACGCATGTCTGAAAGTTTCCTAAAGATCTTGATTTGCTGGTTCAAGTGTGTTTAATTGTTAAAAATGTCTGAAAGGTGGCCCCACAGGAGCAGGACTGGACACCCCAGAGCGGAACTCTGCAGGAATGGCGCTCCCAGAGAAGGACTGGACATCTCTGTTGCAGGGATCTTGCTTAGGTGTAACAGTCATGCTACAGATGTTTGCAGGAAAACAGACAGCTGTAAGAAACTTGCTGCATGAAGCTCTGACCTTGTTTCGCTTGCAGTCTGCACAGCTTCAGACTCTCAGGTGGCTGTGAGATACTGCATGCAGGCTGGGAGTGGGCGCAGAGCCCTAACGCTCCCGCCTACACAGACATACGGACCAGCTCAGATCCGCGACCAGTTCTGCAGTTACTGGAACTGACTAAGGCTGAAGTTCTGAGAAAAGCAGCAGCTCTTAGGTCAGTCTTTTAGGGCTGTTTTTCAATGTAGACCCTACACCACATCCTTTTTTGTCGCTCTCACCCACACATGCAAAGGTGTCTACAAATAGAACATAGAGCAAGCATTCTAGAGAAACCTGCAAATCCACAACACACCTCAAAATATTTTTGCTGAACTTT